CACTAGGGGCAGCCCAGGGCAAACCCCCGATTGGCCCAAAGGCCGGTTAATTGTTTGTATTTTAAAAATGCTATGAAAAAAGTTCTTAACACAGAGAAAGCCTAAACTTTAAAATGACATGTGAATTTATAAAACTTTCATTTCTCCAATTTATAAATGTACAATGAGTATGATCAAAACAAAGCAAGAAAAAAGCTCGTGTGATCTAGAAAAATAAAATTGCCATGCTAAACTTTAAAACTGCTATCCTCTACATGAAAAATTTCATGTGGAAAAATGCTACACATTTTTTAATCAAGAAACAGAGAAATATAAATTTATAAATGCCATGCTTTGAAAATATGAAAATTGCCATGCTACTTTATGAAACTGTCATTTCTCCAATTTATAAATTTACTATGATAATAAAAAAAATACCTTGCCAATAGCAATGAAATTGACATCCTCTTAATGATAAAACTGTCATCCTCTTGATAATCAAAATGGCATGCAAATAGTAATAGAAATGTCATGCTCTCAATAATAAAAATTTAATGCTTTTAATAATAAAAATGTCATTCTCATAATAACAAAACTTCCATCCTCTATAATAAGAATGACATGTTACTAATTATTAAAATGCCATACTCTTAATAAATATAACTGCCATGTGATGAATAAAAAAACAATTCTGAAAAGTTGCCATGAATAATTGATATTTTTCTCCAAAAGCTTGCCACGGGGGCATTACAAACATGCCTAAAAATTGCCATGCACACAGGAAGATTAGAACGATTTCCCTCTAAAAACATGTTTTTTGTTCTTTCAATAATAGTTTTACTGGTTTTTTAGAGGTTTTTTAAATAAAAATTAAACGAGAAAGCTAAGTACATGCCGACTGATCGTTAGGGATAGGCACGTACGATTCCCGCACCCGTACATTCTAAATCCCGCGACGGAGAAAAAGTAGCCACAACAAGATTCAAACCCCCCACCTGCAGCCTCACTACTAACCTTGCCTATATCTGATGACCATCTCAGCCAACCGGATGTTTTGTCTAGAAGTGGGCTAATTCTATAGATATGTGATCACCACGAGTAGGCCACTGCTATGGTGCAGCCCTCCATTTGATTTTTTTTCTGTTACGAATTGGTAATACTCGGATTTTGTTGTATTTCTATAGAGAATGCATTTTCGGTTTTTCTTTCACTCATGAATCATTTTGTGGTTCACTTCTTGATGGAAGTACGCATCCCCGTGAGCACTCCGATGATGCCGAGAACGATATTGGTGGTAGGATCAAAGAGGATTCTACATGAGATGCCCTTGGACAGGTGGGAGATGTTGGCAAAAGGAAGGTGGCGCATCGTGTCATGGTAGAATCCAAGCAAATCTTCGTAGTAATTTGGTGAGAGAGGGATCATCATAGATGGGAAGATTATATGTAGTTACAACATAACGATTGTGTAGTGACCGGGTTGTAGTCATCAACATGGTTATTTTTATAGTTACCAAATTGTATATGTTATAGAAACATGATTATTGTAGACCGACTTACCCATTATTTGGTTTACAAAAAATCGTTGTAAACATTCCTCGGCAACTATTGTGTAAATAGCATGATAATATAGGCTTTCGGACCTGATATTTTACATGCAAACACCACGGTATTTTTGACCCGTGAGAAAAAGTTGTTGAAAACATATCACCGATAACTTCGAATTAATAGCATGGTAAGATACGCCCCTAACCTGATAATTTAGGTACAAACACCACGATAACTTTGATCCGTGGAAAAAAGTTGTTGAAATTAAAACATACCGCTGATAACTTCTAAGTAATAGCATGGTAATATACGCCCTCGGACCTGATAACTCAG